GTATTTGTACAGTAACGTCCGGAGTAGAGCTTTCAGAAAAGTAGGTTTCCAGTTGACAGACAATTCCTTTTTTTGAATTCCAGCTTTTGGTGTGAATCTGAATAAAACCAACATTTCCAGTAATTTCCTGTTAGCAGGAAATCCATAGAAAATGCTGTCTTTCTGAAACAAAATCTGTTTAGTTAAAGAATATTCTTGTCAATTTTCTCACTTCTAAGAACAATATGGAAACTAACAAGAAAGTCAGTGCCATTGAGCAGTTGCAGAGATCTGTTGTTCCAAGCTGTTCTGCCATGTAGCTTGTCCTAGAACCTGTTACTTGATTTCCACACTCTGTATAGGTACAAACATTATGCCTATCTCACTTTAAGTAGGCAGAAAATGCTCTAAAGCCATAACTAAATAGACATTCACAGCTCTTCAAGCAGTTAAAAAATGGCAGGTTGTGCTCTAAGTTAACCCTTGATGGATGAGGTATTAGATTAAAGTCCTTCCTTTTAGAGCACTTTATTGAATGTCTGTGACAGATCCTATCAGGAGTTCACTTAGAGCGCGATTGCTGCCATCCCAGGCGGGGGATAATGTGCAGGGCTGTATTCTAGCCTCAGGCAGAGCTCTTGTGCTCTGCCTGAGTGCTGGGCTGGGCTGGCCCTGCCCCTGCCCCTGCCCCTGCCCCTGCCCCTTCAGATATCACTAACACAGGTCAGTGATGGCATCTGATCCCAGCCCTGTGCACAGCTTGTCTAGAAGTGGGTGGCAGAAGGGGGGTTTCTGTCTGCAGCTGCCCCAGCCCTGGGGTGTGCCATGGCCCACCCAGGAGGGCAGTGGAGGAAGAAACCCAGGGTCTCTCTCCCCACAGCTGCACAAGCCAGGCTTGCAAAGCAGATAGCCTCTGTTTCCCCAGGCTCCTGGCTGCGCCTGGGGAAACAGAGCCGCTCTGCCATACAGATCCTCACCAAGCTTGCAGGCATGAGTCTTGGTTGGGGGCTGGGTTGGGTCTGCAGGGCAGAGAGGCTCTGTTCCCCCCTTCCTCCCCCCCCGAAAACTGCCGGTGCTGGCAGTAGCCAGCTAGCAGGGGGTAGGGCTGGGAAAAGGGGCCCAGCTAGAAGGGGGCCGGCTAGCTTGGCTGCTCGGCTGCTCCTGAAGCTTCTTGGGAGGTGGGTTGGAGTGCCCCCAGGATGCTGGCTATAGCAGGCAGGCTCCAAACCCTTCCCACTAAACAGCACTAGCATGTTTGGTTCCATCTCAACCGAAACTAGAATGCTTGAGTAAAATACTGTATTCGGAGCACTTCCGCCTTGGGCTTCTTGAATGTCTGTACTTAGCCTCTGTGTCTAGCCTCTGCAACAAGGAGCCTGATAGCTCTGAGAGCACTGGCTCTAGCAGTGTTTGCAGATTGTTTGTAACCTCCAATACCATGGCAAGGGTGATGCAAATGGTGCACCAGTGTCAGACATGGGGGAGTGCCAAATCAAATCAAATGTGCAGGTGGGTGAGGGCAAACAAGCCCTGTGTCCCCACTTGCAGCTCCGGACATGAAGTCACCTAAGACCCCTGGATGCAACTGGCACTGAGGGAGCCTCACAAGATGGAAGCTGGAGCAGGTTGACTTGCTTTGGCACGGGGGGAGCAGATGGTGGCCCAAGGGTATGGTGTTAACTAGGTAGCCAGGTGGGAGCAGCCAGCTGATGGCCAGACTGAGACACCAATCCTGGGTGCCTCCTCAGGAACCTCCCCTAGTCCTCCAAGGGGACAGGCTTTGAGAATGGGGCTGTCTTGCCCAAATGGGGCACATGATCACCCTATGGGCAGGGTCCAGCCCTACAAACAGCTTTTCTTTAGCAGTGCTTTAGGAGAGGGCCATTGTCCTCCTGTGTGGCATTTGGGGCCTCCTTTTAGTTCTTTCTCTCAAAAACAAAGGTCCCAGGTACTTTCAGCTGAGCTGAACAGAGCGATGTTAACAACATTTGGCCACATGATACAGACATGGCTCCTGGGATCAATTTCCCCCAGTTTTTAAAGGTTCCAATTCACTGATAACTGTAGTTTGCAAAGGGGATGGAAATAGTTGCTTGTGATTCAGATCCTGCTTAGTTTCTGGGCATCCCCTGAGTTTGGCCAAGAACCGGTTGAGAAAACAAATAGTTCCAAAGAGTTTTTCTATGAATCCTTGACTCTTCCAGTGATTGGCAGGCAGGGCAACCAGACTGCTGGCATCAGCCTGAAAACGAGGCAGGCCAAGTTCTCTTGGGTAGCCTGATGATATCCTAATATCAGACTTGCCAAAAAATATCCTCAAGGCATTGCCCATAACTTGCTTCTGCCATACACAGCTTCAGTAAATTAAAATTAGATAAAAACTATCTAAGGTTTCTGTTGGGACAAGAAAGGTTATCCAACCTAGCAGTCCTGTCAATTGAACAAAACATAATGACTCTGTTAAACTGCAATTCCTTAATTGACATATTTGCTATGTTAAAGGTGAAAAAAATTAGTATTTAAACAAGATGTCTACTGGCACAGGATTTCCTGAGAATCTTGGAAAAATCTTGAATTTTTTTATTCTAGGTCTTTAATCCTAGGCTTTAATCTTAGGTTTTCTCAAAAACTTGGAAATGTATGTTAATTTGGGGTACATCTTTAAAAAATATTGTTTTTAATTTGAGAAATGGCTCATTTTAATAAATTATTTTGCATTTGAAACCAAGATTGTCGTGTTAATTAGGAATATTCTAGTACCTATTTTCAATACTTTTTGTATGTGGTGTTTTGTGTTAACACAGGCAGCAGCTTCATAAACTTATAATCCTCTCTTTCTTTTTTACACTAATTTGGGGTGTAGTATTAGCACGCTTAAGTGTCTGTGCTCTTTTCTATTGTAATCATTTTTGTTTTGTTAATGTAGTGAAGTATTGAGACTGTAAGAAAGTTATAAATTAAAACAAAATAATTAACATTTATTTATCCCATTATGTTACCCTATAAAGGTAAAACTATGTACTTTTTGACATAAATTTGTTGAAGATGATCAGAATATGTGGAATATACTGTGAGACCTGGAATCTTATTTAAAGTGTAAAATTTCTGAAAAATTCTGTAATTTGACAATTATTCCTTAGAAGATACTATGCAGAAAGATTTTTATGATTTTATATTTAACTACTTACTGTTGGCACACATGGCAACAGATAAATATCCAGTTTGTTTTCGTGCCATTTAACTTTTGTAGACATTGTGAAAAAGTATTTACAGTGCATTGTCTTGTTTTTTTCATAGTAATTTTGCTTGTGTTTTGTGTTATGCACATTTGTATGGACTTACGGTATTCACATATTATATTATACATGTGTGTTATGTCAAAAACAAACAAACAATAATGCATACTACATTTTATTACATAGTAGCATGTAGGAAGGTACTCTGCACATGACCTGCACGGCGCACCAAAATGCCTAACTACAGCTCTAGTGACCTCTTTTGTCCTGGGTCCCAGGACGATCAGGCTTTCTGACTCCAGGCAGACTACCTGGAAGTTTTGACATGACTGACTGCCCTGGAGCTCCAGACCCTAGGACCCAGAGTCTTAACCCTGGCACAGACTGCCTGATGAATCTGACCCGGGGTTGCAGATCTTGCAGTCCAACCAAGCAAACTGCTCCAGGATCAGGATCTGGGTCCTAGTCCTTGCATTTTCAGGGTCTGCAGTCCCATGATAGACTTGCTAGACATGCTGCTCTAGATCCATAGACCAGGAAACACTGGGTTCTTGGGCCTAGAGAAATCTAGTAGGGGTCTGATGGAGCCCAGCTGTGGATTTGGCAAGAGTTTATTGAATCCAAGATGTTTCTATGAATGTGCATTGTCTGACACAACTGTTTTGTTGGTAAAATTCTGAACAGTCCATATATGAACAGCTTCTAACTAGATGAACCTACACATATTATTAATGTGATGCGATAAACTTCAGAGCCATTTGATCCAGAGGAAACGGACGTAGCATCTACACATGTGCCTGGGACAGCAGCAATTTATGCAGAGGCAGAGCAAGCCCATGGCTGGCTGGGCTGACCAGGTGCAGTTTATGCCGATGGTTAGCGTCCACATGGGCATTTCAGTGCAGTAAATTACTCTGCCATAAGATTGTACTGTCCCCAACAGTACTATCTTACAGTGGAGTTAATTAATTTATTCCATCCTAATACTTCCGCACTTGTAGACTGTTATGCTTGATGGTGAAGCTAAATTAGTTTACTCCGCAGTAAAGTGCATGTGTAGATGCACCCACTGAGATTAGTGTGCCAATATGTTTGTCTAATAGCTAACACAAAATGAGAGTCTCTGCTCTGAAGAACTTATTTCATAAAATGACAAGATAGACAAAGAGCAGCAAGGAAAACAGAGGCAGGTCAGCCATACAGCATATCAGTGGCAGAGCTGGCACTAGAATCTGATTCCCAGCCTAAGGGCCACACCACCATCAACACTATTTCTATAAGATTAGAGCTTCTTGGTTTTGGTTATTGTGCGCAGTCTTTTATTAGTAAGATGAGATATTCGAAGAAGCTTTTGAGGGGGATAAGACTGCTGTGATTGAGTGATACCTGTTTTCTGCCTACTGTGTTTACAGACAGAGTGCAAGTATCAAGAGGACACAATTAATGCACATGTACATTGCCATATCTGCTCTACAAAATCAAAACAAGCCTTTAAAGAGAATCTAGATGGTCAGACATTTAGTTTTGATTTATTAAAATAGTTTTCAAGACTGTATGCTTATTTCTCCTGTGAGACCTGCACTCTGGTGTAATAAGAGCATTTCATTTTCATGTGAAACATTTTAGAGAGCTTTTTTTTTCTACCTACAAGACTGTGACAGGAATTTGCTCTTGTATGATGATGTGCAAGTTATTATTGCTACTGTGCTAAACATGTGTTTATGAACACTGCTGGCAGAAATGCTCTGCTTTTTTATTTTATGTTGTTACAAATCTACCCTGCAGGAGAGCACTGACATAATGGTAGGTCCCACACCTGATGACATAGGAGTTCCATGAAAGCAGAGGGGAAACAATAAACCCAAAGCCTGGGTACAGTTGTCAACGCACAAATCCATAAACCAAAGCACCAGGTAATTCTTGTCCTTGAACCAGAATAACTTGTTTCCATTGAAAACAAATTTTGGGTCAAGCCCTGTCCTGGGTGAGTAGCATCTAGGGGATTAATTTCCTCAATATGAAAGAAAATGAGGCACACACAAAGGAAAGCCACATCAGCAGTATATTTTAGTGAAACACTTCATCAAATTTTCTTATTTCTTCCTTCATGAGGCTCTTATATTCCAAATTAGGGAGGAGAAGGGAGTTTTTAATCGCTTCTGTGTTTTGTGTGATTCTTTCATATATCTTCACCATCCTTTGTTTTCAGAAGGGCTGTGCAAAATAACTGCGAGAAAAAAAAAAGGAAAATCTCATACCCAAGGTTTATTGCATTTAGTTTACTGCTGAAATATGAAGCGTTCAAGGGGGTTCAATATGACATGGAACCTGTTTGCTATATTCTGTTTTTATGCTTTTTATTGGCTTGTTCTTGTTCCAAATGTATCAAATAGCCAAGATCTCATTGATTTCAGTGGTTTAGGATCAAACCCCATTACAGTTGACTGTTGGGTTTTTGTGATACCCATTCAAAAATATAAAATGTTACTATTCTCAATTTTTTTCTAATGCATTGATATATCTTTGATAGTTTGTGAATTTTAATTTAATTTTATTTCTAAATTATTTTGATATTTATTAAATATTTCACCTGGCCATTTCTTTGGTAAAAAATGACCTCTGTTGTGATTTTTTTTTATATGAACAAGTGTTTTTTCTATTTGAAATTCATTGTGAAAATATATATTCTTCCTTTACTTGTTTTAGTGTTTTTCTAATTTTTCACAATCACAGCAGAATTTGGCTCTGGAAAGGAGCAAGCACAAAACTATTTTTTAAATGTTTTGGTGGGTATTGAACAGCTTTGTCTTCAAATTCTGAAAACATTCAGACATGTATCCTAATGCCTATATGTAGTTTCTTTGGGGGACTAGTCAGGTGAACAAATTTTAAGTGGATGTGGCTTTGCAAGACTGGGACCTAATTATTTTTATCTGCTTTTATAAAGAGAAGAGAACATGATGTAGACTTCCAATTTCAAGCCTCCTAGCAGTCAGCTCTGCAATAGCTGGTATTGCTGGGAAAGAATCCAAAATAATTATTATGCAACTCTGAGACTGAACCGATAAAAATTTTGTTAGTCATTGTTATGAAGTCAACATTTGCCATCCATTATGACAGGTTTACTTAAGATATGTGTTGTCTTCTTTGCCTGAAGTCTTAAATAACTGATATATTTTATAGGCTATGGGGTAACAGTTGGTTATTACTGACCTTTGAATAGCACACTGTATATAGCTCTTGGCTCTTCAAAACTTAACAGTTGATTATGGAGCATCTGTTCTAATTACATTCTTTTGTTTAAAATCTTGTGTAGAGCTATGTCATCCTGAGGAAAATGTCTGAAACTGTAGGTCAGTGACCCTTTATATATCTATAGCCAGACACACACTCTCATCAGGGATTTTTTCCTTATTCTGTCTTGCATGTATTTTTTTAATGGCTGCAAAAATATCAGCCGGCAATCTGAACAGTTGTTATAACATGAATTACTCCTTACAGTCCAACAGTCAGTTTCCTTTTATAATGCACAGAATTCATGAATGTAACGAAATAAAGCTAAGGGGAAATGCAGCACTGAAAAACAACAGAAATGTGAGAGGGGAAGAGCCATTGAAAGCTCTTAAATTTCCTGACACATCACAGTCACAAACCCCTGCGCTAAATACATGTGCTGATCTGCTGTGAAAATTCACTGTTCAATTGCTTTCAGAGTTTTTCATTTCTTACCTAGAGTGAGGTAGTTTGGGCTGACCATTGGGCTTCATTACAGAGCACAGAGGGCTACTGACTGGTCCAAGGATATTTAGAGGAGTTTTTTTACATGTCTGTGGTAAGCCTGTTCTTTTCCATTTATACATTAACAAAAAAAAAGGAGAGAGTCAGTTTACCATAAATCCTGTAATAGCCGGGGGGGGCTACTAAATTTTATGAATAAGTGAGCAAACAAATGATTAAAAACAAGATTACTACATCATAATGAAATTGTTTGTTTATTTGGGCAAGCATAAGTTAGTGTAATTTCTATATGACAATATCTAATGTTATGCAGATAAATGTTATGGAACCATGTGACTAAATTAAGTGAAGAAACACTCTACACCAATTTGAAAGTTAATGCGATCTCTCAGATAATTTTTAGGGGAATACAGTGTTACCTTGGATTACAGTTTTATAGAAATGTTGCAGATAGGATAGAGTGAAACAGTGACCAGTTACCCGATTCTGAGAAGCAGTCATCGTCAGGTCCACAATGGTGTCTCTCCTTAAGGAATCTTGTGTTGCTCCAGTTATTTCCATCTGGCCTTCAGCTTATATGTACATTGCTTTCAATCATCTTTTGATTCGTGCTTCTTTCAACAATTATTTATTCCAGGAACTGAACCCCTCTTCTTACTGTAGTTATTTCCACGCATTTTAGGTCCCATTCTTCTGCTTATCCTAATTTTGCAGAACATGAGCACTATGAGTGACTTGTAGATGAGATTTACAAATGGAGTTTTATATCAGCCATATTTTGCAAGCCTAAGGTTACACAAAACTTAGCCTTGTCTTTTTGCTATGAATATTCAATCTTTATAGGTGTCTTGTTTAACTTAACATAACTATCTTTTAAAAAACAACCAAAAGAACTTACACAGTTGGTCTATGTAAGTATACTTAACAAGCCTCCACCCAACATGTTTTATTTCATATGATCTCTAACCATGTAGAATAATAGATTCATAGAAAATTAAGGTTGAAAGGGACCAACCTTAGGAAGGAGGTCATCTAGTCCCCCCCCAACTCTGCTTGAAGCAGGACCCTCCCCAACTGTATCATCCCACTTACCAGCCAACAGGATTTTGCCCCACAATATAGCCAGAATGGCACAAAGTTAATATGTTTACAAAATGATACCCTTTCTACATAGGACAGAGCTAGAATAACTGGTTCTACATTACTTGTGCTAAGCCTTTGAAAGTGTTGTGGTTGAAGCAATCTACACTCTTATAGTCTCTAGCTAGTATTATAACTCCTCAGAGGCTGAACACTGTCATCATTTGTAGCAGTCTTAAGGCCACTGTTAGTTTGCAGTTACACATTACCATTAGCATTTACTAACTCTAAAAAGTATTAAGTTGTGTTAAAAGTAGTTTGTGCTATGAGCAGTGACACATTAAGGGTTACTACCCTTGCTAAAGTGCACAGCACGGACCTGCCACTAGAGGCCTGGTAAGCAGGAGTGTGGCTAGGAGCTGCCAAGTGTACTCCATGCCTTCCCAGCTCTCTGGCTGTCTAGTGGCAGCATAGGCTCCAGGATCAGGCTGCCTCACCCGAGCCATCCTGGAGCCAGCCCGCCGGGCCTTGTGGTGCCTGGCAGGTGTCTATGGGAAAAAGCGTGGCTGGGTAAGTGAGAAACTGCCAGGGAGCTGTGGGGTCTGGTGGGGCTGGTACAGACTTGTGCATCCACCTGTTCCCTACTTTGGCTGCCCAGGAGCTCCCCACCCCCGAACTTTCCACCCCACTTCCTCCTTTTTCCCTACTTCTCTTCTTTCCTCGCTTTCCACTCATTTGCAGCTGTCCAGCTGTCTCCAGTTGTCAGTCCAGAGCAGCTGAGTTTTGGATGTTATCTAGCCTATGCTGGGCATGGTGCCTTCTGGGACACCAAAGACTGAAAATTGCTGGTATTAGTCTTGTGGAGCAGACTGAAGTCACTACAACACAAGCTGCCTAACACCAACAGAAGATAACCCTTCCTTGAACTCTCTCCAATACTCTCAGAGGGTACTTAGCTTGTCTTTTCTGACTTTACATGTGAACACCCATCTTAAGAGCATTTAGCACATTTGAAAGGTAACTACACTGTGATTCATGTTATGACCAAACTGGACCTTTGAAGCTTTGAGAACTGGAGGAACAGCAATAGAGATATAAAAGGAGTGATCTACTTACGTTAGGCAGCAAATGGAGCTCAGCTGACCGGGAGGACTAGAAGCTAGAAATCTTGCATTGGAAAGACATATTAGGTTGTTTGTATCCAGCTTTCTGCAGCAGCAATGTTCCAGCTTTCTTCAGTACATTTTCTAATATTTCATTAATTTGGTTCTCAAAGTGCCATTGAGACCTCTGCTGCTTTCCTCTGGAGATTATTTTTTACTTTATATTAATTGCAATATAATGCAGTGCACTTTATGAGAGAACAAAGGGATTTTTTAAAAATGGAAAGCTATTACAGTACTTTGCTGTTAGATCGTGAAGAGTGAAGGCTGCTTTTGTGTCATGAGACTTACTGGAATTGAATTGGTGAGCACCTACATGAGAAGTAGCAATGTGCTACGGTGACGTAGCATTGGCAGGCACAAACCGTGATGCCACAGCTATGTCACTGTAGCAATGCACTCCCTCACTATAGCCCATTGTTATGGTGACATAGCGGCTAAAAATAACTGCGCTGCTAGCACAGCACAGTACAGGCTGTTACCAAAAGGACTAAATGACAGTGCAGTAACAATGACACCATAGGGGCACATGTAAATGCACCCAGGATATACATTTTTTTTTGCATTTATGTTCTCATTATTGGAAATGATATACTTTTTATATATGTTAATGATCTAATTATAAGGACTCTGTAACTGCATGCCAGATCCTAATTTCTCCACAGAGACAAACAACTGTTACTGACTCTGAAAACCAGACTAAGTTGGTCTTAGTTTCAAACCACAAGTATAAGTGTTGGTCTGTCTTGGAGGCAGAGACAAATAATAATGGGGAAAGGACAGTCATAGAGAAAGTAGCCCAAGAAATCTCTAAATTCAAGCAGACATTTATTCGCTGGGATTACTAGGATCCTCAGAAGGTGCTTAGTATGGATCCACCCTGTGGATGAAGGCCATTTGCTTAAAAAGAGTTGCAAAAGCTTA